TAAATATGATCCATTTTGACCATAGTTCTTTTAAAATAAGGTTCTCATATTTGAAAGCAAGACTAAAATACATTAGAGACAATATTTTTTTCTCAACAGTATGCATTTTACTTTAATTTTTTTTCCATAGGTGTGTATACTCACCAGAGAGAGACAGACAGAGACAGAAAGTGAGGGAAAGTGAGAGATTTCCCCCCTAGAGGGATGGTTATATCACAATCTTTTTCCTCCAATCTCCTCTTGGGATTTTGGGTATACATGCACACAAGTTTTTCAAGCCACTGGGTCCAGGACTCAAACAGCAGAGTTAGCCATGGGGGATCCAGCTCCTTAACAACCACGCCACCTGCTGGCCCTGTAGTATACTTCTTAATGTTTGTTACTTTATTTCCTTTTATTATTCTGTTTTGCAGATACATGACAATGAATTTATAGTGTTTTCTTGGTGCTTAATCAAAAAGTAACCATAGGGAACCAGCAGTTAGCGTAATGGCTATGTCTCTGGACTCCCACGTAGTCCACCGTGGTTCGTGTCCCGGACCCGGTGGCTTAAAACTCACGCCGAGTGCGTGTGCGTGCATGCCCAAGATCCCGAGAGGAGAATGGAGGAGAAGGGATTGCGGCGTGACCATCCCCCCTGGGGGGTGATTTCTCACTTTCTATCTCTATGTCTCTCTCTGTCTGTCTGGCGAGCGCACACGCCCTACAGTGAAAATCTCTCAAAAAAAAAAAAAAAAAGTAACCATAGATCTTGATAATGAAAGTATATATGCCAGGGACACAGAACTTGTAGGAGATAGATAGATATGTATTCTAAGAAATTGATTTAAATGACAGTGGAGAGGGGACAGGCAGTTCTGAAATTTATAGAGCAGGTGAAGGGCAGTCTTAAAAATTCACAAGAGTTAATATTGTAGTCCAAAAGTAGAATTTCTTTTTGTTCAAGGTAATTTCAGTACTGTCCATAATACCTTTCTACTGATTAATTCAAATCCACTCAGATTTTCCAAGATAATATCCTTTACATAAAATTGATTGTGTTCATAACATTCACAAAATATCTTCATAACAACCCATTATAATTAAATAACGGGATACTATAACCAAACAACATTGAAACATAAAACAGAAGTTCTAAAATGATTATGAGCTATTTGATGTGTCATGTTCAGAGGGATTCTGAGATTGTTTCTAGCTCAATGGTAAGAACACATACAAGGTCTACCAAGGACAAAAGTGAAAGGGCAACCATATAGCACTTATTACTCATAATCTAATGACATAAATTAATAAATATAAATACTAGTAGATATATGACCAACTGTGATGAACTTCATGACAGAGTCTCAAAGTACAATACTCTGGAAACATGGAGCACTGAATCACAATGGAGTTCCATTTTCTACAGGGTAACACAACATATGGCTAAAAAGGTTCTGGCAGCCAAATTTTCAATGTCACTTGTAAAATTTAGACAATTCATCAGACAATAAAAATACTGTCTAAGATATCTAAGATGAATCACATTTTCCTCCTTAGGAATTCAAGACACTCCAGTGTTTGTAACATGCATCAGATATAAACGTGCTATGTAGTGAGAATTAGTGAAAATGTCTTATGGAGGAAAAGAGAGCTCACTGTCTTAATAGTTCATTTGGATATTTTGGAAAATACTTGAAAATCTAATACATGTTTTAATCCTTTGTTTTTACAAAATGTTTTCTCAGATGTAACTCTAAGATATAACAAACTGTATTTCACCTTCCACTCACAGTTGTTAAGTCCTGTACCTTTCAATACCTTTGAAGTTCATGTTTTCCCATTCGGTTAGATGAGGGCTCTCATGTTTCTTTTTTTTAAAATTTGGAAAATACTTGAAAATCTAATACATGTTTTAATCCTTTGTTTTTACAAAATGTTTTCTCAGATGTAACTCTAAGATATAACAAACTGTATTTCACCTTCCACTCACAGTTGTTAAGTCCTGTACCTTTCAATACCTTTGAAGTTCATGTTTTCCCATTCGGTTAGATGAGGGCTCTCATGTTTCTTTTTTTAAAAAAAATAAATACTAAAACTTGAAATTGCAGGTGAAATAATACTTATCATTAATCAAAGTGTTTTCTTCATGCGGAGACACAGTGAAACTAATTAAAATAACCACAAAAGATGATTTTAAAAAGGAAGAAAAAGTAGAGAGAAATGTTTTCTCTATTTTTTTTTTAAAGAACAATAGCTGTCCTGACCCGGGGGGACAGCCGAACGGGTTTCCTGAGTGAAGGAGTGAGAGCCGGGGCAAGCAGCGTAGTGTTACAGCACGGAGACGACAGTGTCGTCTGTTTATTGTGGGCAGCACGGTACAGCACAGAGACGACGCAGTGTCACAGCTCTTAAGGGTCGTGTTGTCTACTAGCACGGAGACGACGCGGTGTCACAACTCTTCAGGGTCGTCCGGAGACGATGTAGTGTTACAACTCTTCAGGGTCTCCCAGGTTGTCTGGAGACGATGCAGTGTCAGCTCTTCAGGATCTTCGGGGTCATCTGGAGACTGCGCGGTGTTTCAGCTCTTCAGGCTCTTCAGTCTCTTCAGTCGTCGTCTTCCTGGTCGGCGTAGTTGTCTGGCTACTGTGGGCCAGGCATCATGGTTATATACACTCTGGTGGGTTGTAAACGGTGGGCTGTGATTGGTTGTAAATGGTGGGCCGTGATTGGTTGTAAACAGTGGGCTGTGATTGGTTGCTTTTGGACCAATCATGAGGTGCCGGATATGCAAATTTGAGGGATTCTAGCGGCCAATCAGAGCAAGGTTTCGAAGGTCAGGTTTTTGGAAGGGAACCAATCATGGTAATTGTTTGCTCTCTGAGAAACCTCGGCAGACTCACTGGTGTGTAGCCTCCCACAAATAGCAAATGATCTAGTTATAGGAAAAGCTGAGAAGCTCCAAAGCTTGGTAGTGTGCTATAAGAATGTAACTGACTTAACTCATATTTACCTTGTGCTTACAGTATATACTCAGAACCTAGAGTGATTGTGTAAGAACTTTCCAGAACAGTGCCCCGTGAAGAACATGCTCAAGAGGATATTCTTTGTCATTGACTCCATGCTCAGTAAGATCCCTAACACCAGAGAAATTTCTTTAGTTTTTGTCTAGTCATGTTCCCAACCCATGAGTATACTCTACGTGCTCAAGTGACCTAAAATCTGCCCCTTCCTTCCTCTTCTTTAAATTTTTGTTTTCATTTTGCCATATGACACATGCATTTGCTGGATAGAGATGGAGGGAGTGAAAGAGAAAACACCTCCAATGGGGAATGAGAGAACACCTCCCATGGGGAATGGTCATGCCAAATAACCTCTCACTTGTCTCTCCTTTTTTTGGGGATTTTAAGCATGTGCACACACATGCCCAGCTTGTGTCTGTAGTCACCGGATCCAGCACTCCGGACACCAGTCAGCCATGTGTGATCTAGCCACCTTAACCACCACACCAAGGATTGGTCCTAAAATATATCCTGAAAATTATTTTGTATTTCACATGTAATGTCCCCTAGTGCCCTGTAGTGCTCAGAGCCCCACATTACTCAGGACTGTGAGTCTCCATCAGCCCCACCTGGATCATCTATAGGCTACCACAGGATCAAGCACCGTTTCCATCCACAGGAAAATACTTTGGGCTCAATATTTTGACCCTGGCCTGCCTGCTTCACAGTTTTGTAATTACATCCTTTTGAACTTGCTTCCTTCCAACTTCTTCCCAGTGTTCTTGTTGATACATCTTAGAATCCTCTAACTCTGCTTTTTCTCTAATGCTTAGTTTTCTTGAGTAAGCAGATATTTCATTTTATTTTATATTACATTTTATTTTATTTTACTTATTTATTTTCTTAAGGTTTGTACCATAGAGCACATGGGATGGCCCCACTACAATCTTTTCTCCTCCATTCTCCTCCTGGGATTTTTGGGTATACATGCACATGCACATAGCATGATGTTCAAGTCTCCAGGTCTGGGACTTGAACCATGGTTGGTCATGTGGGGATCCAGTGCCGTAACCACTACACTTCCTGTGGCCCCTAAGCATGTATTTTTAATGTCTACTAAATGCATGAAAGGGGAACATGATTTATTGTCTTATAGTCCTTAAGCTACTGGCATCTTTCTAATTGCACATCTCTTTTATCCTATAAATTCTCCTAACTTAATGTCCTTTAATGTTTGCCTTAAATAGATATAGTTAGTAGGCTGATGCACCCATCTAATAGACGCCCTGTGTTAGTGACAAGTTTGGTAAAAACAAATTAATGTTTTTATCTGGGTTTTGTTTTTATGGTGAATTAGCTAGCTGGACTGTGTAAGACTATCCCAATTTTGTTGGCAACATCTGAAGCATCATAATCAGGAGACAGTCTTACATAAGTCTTCTTCTCTCCATCAGGCCTGATTAAGGTACTTCTGACCTTGGCCACATCAATATCACAGAGATTCTTCACAGCCTGTTTGAGCTGGTGCTTACTGGCTTTGACATCCACAGTGAACACAGGTGTATTGTCATCTTCTTTATGGCAGACTCAATGGTAGGGGGGGAACATGATGAGGCATAGTGGTCAGGCTTGTTTCTCCTAGGGAAGATCTTCCATGGATATTTTGGCAGCCTCTGGAGCCAGAGTGTCTTGGGCCACTGCAAGGTGGGCAATGTATGGATCTATCAGCACTGCTGCCTTGGCCTCCAAAGTCTTTGCTTTGGCTTCAGCTTTAGAAGGGGCAGGAGTTTCCTTCTCAGCTTTCAGCGCCATCTTGGTGGAAAGGGTCTAACTCAATGATTCTTAACCATGGGATCTACCCTTCTGGGGATAATGGGTAATGTTTGGAGGCATATTTGATTGTCATGACTAGAGGAGAAAATGGTGTTATTCAGGGAGTAGAGACCAGGGATGCTATTAAACTTCTCACAAAGCAGAGAATAACCTTTCTCTCCAACAAAGAAGTGCCCATCCACACAGAGATGTTTTTTCCTCTCACATCCTGGAACAAACTGTAGAACAATACCAGACTGTTCAAGGTCTATCTGTGAATGCAGACAGAATGTCGAAAGTGCTGAGGTAGAAAAATTCTGAGATAAAACAAAGGAAACTCAAAACTACTTTTTAGTGTGGATAGGTAATAGACATAGGTAAATGATCAATTTCTGTTTTTACTAAAGACAAAATTTACATTTCGAGGTAGATTGTTTAGCTAAAAGTACTTTCTAATTCTACATTGTTTTCAGGAATTGTCGCTCATGTAGGCATTTTTCTTGAATGGTTTCAGTATATTCCAGCCTAAAGGCAGTAAGGAAATTGTGAAAACATTCTAAGATTCTTAGAACATTATTATCATTGTGGTACGACAGATACCAATTCACTAAATTAACAAACAAAACTCAAAATGCATGTCACTGCTCTGGGACCTGTATTCTTTTACTTTTGTCTATTATGAAATTATCTTCTCCATATATCAATATTATATGTTTAGCCTCATCATTGCAGGTCATAAAACTGGCTATTACCAACAAAATAGTTTAATGACAGACATCAAAATTCTTTGCTCATCTTTTTAAGATCCATACTTGTGTTATGCCTATGTAAATAGCAGAAAATCCTATATGTTTGGATATTTTCTGTTCAACTCTTTGGCGTTGATTTGTGCACTCCAACATTTAAGCAATAAATCATCCTTTCAACAGAAAGCTTTTCTTTAACATAAAATGTACAAGGACGTAGTTTTATTATAGTTCTAGAGACCTTTGGCTCCCTCTTACTTTTAAAACACTGGGAACTTATCCTTGTGGTTATGTGTCCTTTCTTCTTTTTAGTAAAAATGTCATTTAAAAATTAACTTAAATGGAAAGTTCAAGTAACTTACACTTGATGGAAGAGAAAGATTTTAGTTTTTTTCACAATTATAATTTAAATACTATAAGGTATGGGAAGTTTCTGCATCAGGTGATACATGGCATTCCTTGATGATCTGGGACTTTTGACATATTTTATTTTTTCCCAGAATTAGTCATTTCTACCTCTGTTATGTACCTTGTTTCAGGAGATTATGCATCCTTCTCTCTTGGGTTGTAGTTATAGAAGTGCTCATCTTCTCTTTCTTTTTAGATGATAAATTCTCTAGAGGGAGCAAATGTACCCTACTCAACCTTTTATCTGCTGACACACTTAGCTACATTTGTGGAAATTAGAGGTGCATTTGTAACTATATACATGTATAAACCGAAGTGTTTATTTTGTATGTCTATGATAAAGTAAACCTGAATTGATATTGTCATGCAGCAGAAAAAAATCTGGTGTAAAAATTTGATATAACTCTGGCATTAATGAGCTGTGTGACCTTAGGCAAGTTATGTGTTTTTAGCCATCAAATCTCATAATCCATGTATGATTTTTTTAACCCATTCACCCAAATATTAAATGAGCAATGAGCTCTGTTCCTATTTTCTATCAAACATTAGCAGAAAGAAAGACCCTACGTCCTGCCAAAAATACCTGCTACTGCCAGCTTTAATCAGGTACGCATAAAGTTGCAGTCTTCTGGCAGCTCCTATTATACAGGAGATTCTAACAGACTTAGAAGCCTCTGTCAGGTACAGTCAGTCAAGTATTTTCAGTGCGTCTCCAGTGTCAATTTCTTTCTGTGGGGTGTATAAACTGGGATATGATGAGGACTCACTATACTCTGTACTAAGCAGGTAGAATAGTGACCAAAAGAGGTCCAGATAGGTAAAGATAAATGTTGTCCAGCAAACAGACAGAAAATTCAGGGGAAACTGGTAATGAACTTTGTGTTCAGCTCCAAACCCACCTTTCTATACTATGCTTAGTGAGGGTGGGACCAGGACTATGCAAATAGTACTTCTTTATTCCAGCAGTCTCCTTGTTAAGCTCTGTCAATAGGAAGGTTAAAGGAAGAGCAGAAAACAGGAGGAGAGAAAAGGAAGCTGCTTTTCACACTTGCCCTTTCTGTGATTGTCACCATGGCTGTAACATTTGGCCCAGTTTCCATGTTTTTCTATATTGCAGCCACATTGTACCCCTCTGAGGTATCAGCTGGGTTGAGTGATGGTCCCTTTTCATAGGTCTTAGTACGAGAGTGTTCCTACTACAACATTCTATGTTCCAATAACCCCAACATTATTCTTTCATTCCCTAAGCTCCAGGTGTCACAACTGCTTTCCATTGTTACTTTGGCCATCTTTTGACTTTTAGAGTCCTCCAATATCTGTGTAATCAGCTTATGTTAAATGAATAATTGCTTGACTAGTTTACAACTGATCAACTATATCCAAATATCCAAACATCAGATACATAAAGCTATTAGAAAATAGTGGATGGGGCTGGCAGGTGGCATGGTGGTTCAGGGTGCATGACTCCCTACATGGCTGACCGCAGTTCAAGTTCTGGACTTGACAGCTTGCTTTCTCACTTTTCCTCTCTCTCTCACTCTGTCTCTTTCTAGTCAAATGAAAATAAATAAATAAAGTTAAATAAAATATGTTTTTAAGAAAGAAAGGAAATAGTGGCAATCTAAGCGCATGCCTGGGATTTAAGGGTGGAGTTTTAGTCCCACAACGTGTGCATGAGTATGGTTGGGTATATAGGCAGTCTAATAGGCAAGAACAAAACAAGATCTAGTTTGTCCAAAGTTCTAAAGAGATTAAGAAACCAAGGCAGTGGTGCCAGCAACTGGCATGGTGGCTAAGGCACTGGACTCCCACATGACTAATTGTAATTCAAGTCCCAAAACTGGTGGATTGCATTCTCATTTTCCCTTTCTCCCTCTCTCACTCCCTGTCTCTCTCTGGTGAGCACACATGACCTATAACAAATTAAAATAATAATAATGATGAGGATAAATAAAGATAAATATGTATTTTTTTAAGAAAAAGAAAACAAACCAAAGCAGTTACTAATACAGAAACATAAGTATTCTTTTAGATAACATAATAGCCCACAGTTGACTTCATCCTGTAACATAAACTCTAAGCAATAGCAGCGGGAGAAAAAAAATAAAAAAGCCTCGCAGCCCAGCTCTGGTGGTGCTGGAAGTAGAACATCAACGCTCAATGGTGGCGTAGCATGGAAGGCCTGGATAGGGTTCTTGGATCATCCCGAACCTGCTAGGCACTGCAGTGCATGCCTGTAGTCCTAGTTACTTTGGAGGAGGTTATAAGGAGTGTAGTATATCCTACCCATCAGAAATATCTATCTCTTGTCCTTTTCCTTTCTTTATCTTTCTCATTTATAAAGGAAAAAAGAAAGAAAAAAGATATTTGAAGTCTATTTTAAAAAGAAATAAAATAAAATATAAATTATAAAATGACCATGGAAAGAACAAAGTTTGTTTTGATCTGCTGTGCTTTTGAATGACAAAGGCTAGAGCTGGAGGTGGAAGGTAATTAATTACAGGCAGGAGTAGCAGAAAAGAGTTTTAATTTGTGCTCCAATAGCCATTGCTCATCCTCATCTTTGCCTTTGGACAAATAGTGCCTTCCCTTTACCCTAAGACATTGGCAAAAACAACCCAAACTACTAGGGTCTTTTCATGAGTCTCAGGGAAATGAAAAGGCCCTGCTCAGGGGAGAAGTCAAAGAAAATAGATGAGAACTGACCTGCCACCTTCTGGCATTCTTCCACTCTCTTCTTAACCCTAGGTCTGAGAAATTACAAATCTAAAGAGACTGCCTTCTCCCAAGGCTGCTGTTTTGAAAAGAATAAAGAAATTAGCAATGGAAACTTGGAGGAGAGTAATTGCCTGGGGAAGTGGGAACAAATGGGTGTGATAAACAGGGCTCTATCATTCCCTGGACTCTTTGTTCTAGGAAACAGGTGGGATAAGCAGTGTAACTTATACTAACTGAAAAATAACATTAGATTAAAAATCCCCCCAGAAAGTAGTAGAAAAGGAGAAAAAGATACAAAAAGCAAAGAATACACAAAATATAAAAGATTAGACCACCTAAGAAATAACAGCCTCAGAAGTTTTAGTGTATAAACATGCACATTGAATATACTTTGGGAGAAGCAAGTTTATCTACAAGAAACTATAGGAAGTCAAATAATCAAAGATTCAGTCAGCTCATTTTTGTCTCAGAGGAAAAAAGCTAACACAAAAGGAAAAGAGAAAAATAACATTCCTAGTAATCTAATACTAAAATTTTAGAACATGTATGGTCATTGGAAAGTCAATAAATTTGAAAATCTCAAAATTACGTATGATATATTATTGCCCACAGTGCAATAAAATTAGGAATTAATAACAGATTAACAACAAAAACCCTGGGCCAACCACTATGGTGCTCAGCAAGGCTGGAAGCATGCGGTCGACTGCAAGTTCAGACCTCCAAATTGGCTTGAAAATATGCCAGGTAGGTGTGCACACCAAGGTGCCCGGAATCCTGAGGAGCTGAAGAAATAGGGGTTGTGGCATAAAGAGACCCTTTCGAAGGTCTGTCAAGACACCTTTCTCTCTCTCTATCTCCACACACACTCTCGATCATAAAAAGAAAAAAAAATCAAAAATCCAATGTGTGGAAACTGCACAGTATCTTATTGAATAATTTTTGCATTTAGGGGGAAATTAAGGACCAACTTTGTAGTCTAGTGGTAAAGGGAGCCTAATTCCACAAGGCTGAGTTTGGTTCAAATCTTGACGCCAGAGGCTGGAAATACATAGCAAGCATGTGTATACAAATGACCAAAATCTCAACAGGGTGGAGAAATGGAGATGAGATTGCAGCATGACCACATCACATTAGGGTCTCTCAACCCCCTTCCCCCACTTGATCTCTTTCTCTGATGAGTATGCACACCCTCTGGCAAGTTTTAAAAAAAGGGGGAAATAAAGGATAATTTAATGCTTAATAATACTGTAACTAGAACACCATCTGACAAGTTTGGGGAACTCAGTTGAAGCCATTTAGAGTTTTAAATCCATTTATCATAAAACAAGAAAGGTTAAAGTAAATGAATAAAAGATTCAACTATAGAAATAGAAAATAGACAACTGGGCCAGCAGGTGGCATGGTGGTTAAGG